AGTAATAAAAACACTTATCACTTGGTACCCCAGGAATACACCCTGCATGTATTCAGATAGCAACCTGAAGAAAAGACCATTTACCCTAAGTTAGAGCACTGACGCATAGGGTTCCCTCATCTTTTACAAAAAACGGTGCACCGAAGTGGCAAAGTACTGAAATAACTGACAGGAAAACTATAAAAGATTCACTCTCCCTACTACAAGGGGCCGCAAGGAGGCAGAGCAGTCACCGAGGAGATGATCTCATTTCTGGAGCCCCAAACAAGAAAGTTAGGGGAAACAGAGGCATTCCTAGAGTCTAAAGCTACACTTCCACCGAATAACTCTCCTGATTTCACCAAGCCAAAGACAAGAAGGTCTCAACACATGGTAACAGGTAGCTAAAAATCAGCACAATTACTAGTATGCAAGATTACTAGTTTAGCATTTGAAAAGGGTCAAAAGACTTCTCATTCCTTTGTTCTTGAAATGGTGGAGTTTTTCCTTGGATTCCGATTCCTAGAAACAATATCATTAAACAACAGTACAGAAGTACCCCCACACTGTGCTTTCAGTGAGGAGGTATCAAAGCAGAACACCACAGGTCAGCATCACCATTACTACGTCACTACACAACCATTTGGACAGCAGAATCAAGCATTTCTGCCCAAAGTCACTGCACAGTGGCCGATATGGGAGCAGATCTAGGGTTCTTCGGTTCCAGAAGATAAGGAATTTAATGTTCTGGTTTTGGCACGCTTGTACAGTCATTTGCACCACGCAAAGTGAGACAGGGCGGGTGTTAAACACACCAACCCCACACACCACATTCCAGCAGTTCATGAACAAGACTGACCAACTGGAGACTAACAGCATCGTTTGGTTTTCCCCTCGTTTGTCCTGTGCATAAGCAAAGTGTTATGTATGCAAGTAATTTTTAAGATGCAGTTTGTGACTAAGAAAAACATAAGGCGAGTTTCTAGGGGCTAAACTCCCTCCTGTGGAGTGTAGGAGCACAAGTCTCACACATCAGTAATGTCCTTAAAACAACCCCAGCCAAGCAGCAACCCACCCTTCCTCCCAAGGAACAATGAGATCTGCTGCCGTTCATAGAGTCTGCGCTCCTGTACATAGGCACGGCTGTCCCCAGAGCACTGCTTCTTTCAGTTACAGGAATTACACAGGAACAAAAACAAATACAAAGAAAATCTCTCCCTCACCCCCCCCCATCTATGTTTCCTGCTAGAGTGATGCAGTTTTAATGTGCGGGGCCCCCCCCCCCCGGGGGGAAAAAAAAAAAAAAAAAAAAAAAGAAAAAAGTCACATGAACTAGTCTCACCCAACTACTGGTAACTGAGTTGACTGATAAGCCTCATTCATCAGAGCACTCCCCCACATCACATTCACGCTTCCCCCACATCCATCCCAGCTACTCCCCAGCTGTGACTGATTCTCATGAGAGTTCCTGAACTAGAAAATGCATTGGCTAAAAAGAAAATATCTTACTCCATACAGACATGCACACACTTCAGATGCTAGTGCAGCAAGCTATGTGCTTGATGACATTTTCCATAGTCAGAGGCCCACATGCTCCACATTTTACGTTTGTTTGGATAGCACAAAACTTGCTGATCTCCATTTTTGATCTCAATCACATCTGAACTTTCATTTTAATAACAAATGGGTTTTTTTATCTATTTTTAAATAAGGTGGTTTTGGAAAGTCACTGGAGGCAATATCCTGCGAGCTTTCAGGCTGAACAATGCCACCATCATTCATTTATTCACAAAAAGCCCCCTCCAAAAATAATTTTGCTCTACACAGAGATTCACTCAAGCTGCCATTCGCTTCTGGTAAGTGGGCTGTTAGAGGATGGAGAAGGTCTGCCACAAAGCCACCAGTGCTAAGATTCTTCTACCCATCTCAGATTTCTCCAGCAGGTTGCACAGTGCCTGCAGCCCTGGCCAAGTCCTTCATCCTTGGCCAAGTCCCAAGGAACCCTGTGAAGACTTGGACAGCCAGAATTCAGGAAGCTGCAGCACCTTCTGGTTTGGGGACAGATGCTCCAAACGCAGTGGATATTGTCAGATACAATACAAATTTGCTGATTTCTGAATTGTGGGTGCGACACTTGTGCTCATCCGGTTAAAAGATGAACTGGGGAGATTTCCAAAGGCAGGGGCAGCACAAAGCCCAAGCCCCCTCCAGAGTAAGTGCGAACCAACATCTAAGTTTCAACTATTCATTTGAACATCTTGCCACCCCAAAACCAGAATTTATTCTTGCATCCAAAGCACAACCTTGACTCAAAAGGAAATTGTTCTGTATAGTGTGGTTGCATTTGTAGTATCCTATCAGGAGGATCCACCAAAATAGTTTATTTTTTTTTAATAAAACACTACTACAAGCTCCAGCCTGTTAGGACAGAAAGGCTCCTCTGTCATACCGACATGAATGACCAGCACATACCGGGCAGAGAGGAGAATCACTCTGCTGTGATTTTGCTGACTGTAGGTTTCTATTATGTTACTTAACCACACCTGACCCTACAACCCTTAAAAGGGGACAGAAACATCTCTCATGGCTTCAGACAAGGCTCCAACCATAGCTATGAGAGAGAATCATTCTTACACCACTTTTGGGAATGCTGGGTACCAAATGTCTCCCATGCAGACACTGGATGAAAGTTCAATTTGTTCCTTCACAGCGGCAGCTTTCACACAAACTCCTCGACTTTTGAGCAGCGCACCAACACTAACCTAATGGCTGTAGGACAGTCACATTTTTTTGGAGAGCTTAAAATTAATCCCCAATATCCACCCATTTCAACTCTCTTGCATTTTCCATTCATTCTGCAAATAAGTGGCAAGTATTTTCTGATGAAGGAGATCTAGATAATAGACATGTCTAAAAATATATGCTTCCATTGTATTGTATTTCCCACCCAGATCCATGAATAGCTACTTGAAAAAGCAATAAAATAAACATTCACATCTGCTTATTTAATAGCATTATTAACAACCCAGTGCATTTATAATTTTTTCCAGAACCCTTGAACAAGTGCCATTAGATTTAAAATCTTAAACATTCTTTAAAAGTACTTTAATTCACAGAAATCTTTTTTTCTAATATACAGTAGATGGTTACTTTTTAAAATCCATTCTCTTTTCATATAATCTCAGTATCTGACTATACAATAACTTTCTATCTATAGCGTCTTCATGTTTTCCAGTCCAGCTTGCCTGTGCTTTAGGAATATAAAACAAAAAAATAATAAAGTTCTATCCACAATTTTACTAAGGTCATTTCCATAGTTCTCATGTAAAGCTTCTCTTGGAAAGTGCAGTATACACATGTAATGATACAACACACTTAAGCAATACTTTTATTATTAAGTGTAGGTTTTAAAAGAAGAGTAATGTAGAGCAGACACAATTGATGGTAGTTCTATTTACAGAATTTGTTAAACTAAGTGTTGGGGTGGGGGAATAGCAGAGAGACTGGAGATAGGAAAGGAGTAGTCACGAACTTTGATTCCTCTCTTTCTTAGCGAGAGGTCAGTACATACATATTTCAGTCGTTCATACTTTCGCACATGGGAAACTGCACTTTTACTAATACAGCTACATACACATACACAAGGTTAGCAGTAAGCTATTAATTATTCCACTACAGAGGAAGAGTCCTTCTGTTCAGAAAGAGCTTTCAAATACAAGATAGAAATTCCGGACTTCATGACCATAAGCCAATGAAAACAAGTTTAGCGTATCCAGCTAGTTGACAAACTAAGCATGTGAAGGGAAAAAGAAAAGGTAAAACCCATCAAGTTGTAGCAGCACTTATTTCAAACCATCTGAACCAAGTGCATGCTTATTCCACAAAGACTTCAGAGTGGAATAAAGTCCACAGTCATCTTTGTCTACTGAAACAAATGGTTCCATACTTAACTGGTTTGCACTATAGGCAGTTACAAGAAAAAACGGGGAACCCAGAACAGATACCAGATGCTTGACTAAAACCAGGATTAAAAATAGACAAACAACCGTAGGACAATTTGTTTCATACACAATTTACAGTAGGTTGGGGGGATTTTCTTTTTTTCCAGTCAAACACAGAAAAGTAGTCACAGAAAATACATCTGCTGCTGCCACAATGCCCTTTTCATCCAAAAAAGGTCAACAAAATGCTAGTCACAGCCATACTTACATGTATTTGGTTCAAAACCTTGTTATATTTCACTTAGGGTCATTTCTGCAACTTTAACAATCGGGTTTGTTTTTTTCTTTTTTTCTTTTTTTTTTCCCTCCCCCAAGGAAGCGCAGTGCATTCACAAGCAGGATTGTTAAACAGCAAACCATTAGCTGGGGGCAGTCCGGAAAACTCTCTTCATAGGCACCCATCACCAGAGGTACTAGGCAAGACTACTTCAGAGGAATTGGGTGCTTTCTCCTCCTCTGAAGCATATACTGGCAATTTAGAAACATCAGCTCTCCTAACGTGTATTCTGCAGGAGAGGGACGTCCCTACTTATTTCACCTGTCCCCTTCCTCCTGCCCACTCATCAGAAAACAGGAACAAAACAAAAACCAAACCCAAAAACACAAACGCAAAGATTGAAACACAGTTGTTCACACACTACTCTAAGGAAAAAGGAGTCTGTTGTACGCAGGGATCATACATCAGCTACAATTATCTAATTCATTTACAGTTAGGCTTTCCATGGTGCTATGTGTACATCTCAGCAGGGTGGCTAAGGACGGTGCTCCCTTTAGGCATAGGCTATTAAAGACAGGTGCAGAAGGAACCACAACAGGTTTTTACCAGCATTAGAGAGGACTACTTGGAGAACTGAGACAGAATCTTTCCCAGGGCATGGGAAGACAGGGACAAAGGAGGGTGACTGTCTCCTGTTGGCAGATTTGTTTTTCTTTTAATTAAAGAAAAAAAAGCCCCAAAGAACCACAACTGAAGGTAACTCTTCTGGAAATGAAAACGGAGGATTAGGTACATTACAGAAACTGCGTCTGCTACTGTGTCACTGCTACAGGTCTATGAGCTGATCCACCAGCAGTAAAGACCTGGCTATGTTGGGAAGACTGGACTCAGAGCTTCCACTGTTGTTTCTAGAATGCCCACCTGAAAGTGTGAGAGATAGGAATTCAGTATTGAACAGGACACACACACACGACAGTTTCAGATGTTCAAGATCAAGCAAGAAAGAAAAAAGTCAAAGCAAAACAGAAAAATTGCTCAAGTTCTTCTCATTATTTGCATCATGATAGCAACAACATTCCCCTGCTTGGTCTTCCACCCTTTCCCCACCCCCCAAACCTAGCTCGCAAGACTTGCATGGAAAAACATCACGGCAGCCAACAAATCTCTACAAACCATTTCTTTTTCCCAAGGTTTACATCCAAACTGCAGAACTCTGTCCTTACTAAAGGATCTACAAAGCAATTATAAGAACTCCCATAACCTATAGAAAGGACTGTTCAAAGTTTTAAATCTTGAAAGTTAGCTGCTGTTTTAAGAGCATCTTTGAGTTACCAGCTACCTCAAGGAGAGTTGAGCTATCATGTGGCTTTCTATAACTGGTACTTTGATATTGAAGGAAAGATGCTCCCCTTTATACAAGGTACCCTATCTTTGCCTAACTTTGGCAGAAATCTTCTCTGACTTTCAACAGGAGCAGGGTTTCTAATGTCTGAGAACTTTTTCTAATGTGTGCCAGTCTTTGAAAGCTAGCATTAGATGCAGAACAGGTGTACAGCACATTCCTGCTGTAAACAAAAGTGGGAGTTAGGGAAGTCAAAGTTCTACGATCAAACAAAAAAATGAACAAAAACCCACACCAAAAAAAGGGAGCCCTGGAGTATGTCTTTAAACCTATGCTAGCATATCAAAAGCTGTAATCAAAACTTTTCCATGGTGTGACTGCAGAGAGAAGTCCTATTTGACTGACCAGACTGCAAAATGCTGCCTACTTCTGTCCCTGCAAGAGCTACAAAATGCAGCACTATTATTTCTTTTAAGGAAAGAGTGCTGCTTCTTACACTTAACCCTACATAAGGCTGGAACTGTTTGCAAAGATCACTTTAATGTGATCTAGGTGACAGGAATGCTATAAAATGAGAAACTTTCCAGTCTCTGTCCTAAGGTCTCTGCTCAGAGCTCTTCAAGGGAGGTGGGTACCATCTACCAAACTTCTCAGTTCCCGCAAGGTCCTTTGAAAGGCATCAGTCAGGAGTGAAAACAACTCACTTCCAGCAGGAGTTTCAGAGTTATAAAGGATTACCATCATCTTCCTTTCTTGCGCCTCATGCCAAGTTAACTTAAAAGTGAAAGGGCCTCCTTTCCTTGGCTTGAACAGTAAATAAGAACACTGGAGAATGTAGTTCTCCATTGCACTTTAGTCACAGAGGTATTTGTGTACCCTGCCTGGCAGACTGGTAGAAATTACTTCATGGGATCTAAAGATGCTTGCACGTCTATTATCTTTTTGGACACGCAATCTTGTCACAAACAGAGAATCTAGAGAAATTTCAAGCCCAATGTAAATCAGAGAAAGACTAAGCTCACTAAATACTACAATGATAGTATCTTACAGTTTACAATTTGATCTACTTCACATGTGATGCAGCACCACTGCCCCCAAACTAATTTATGTTCATTGTTTCCTTTTTTCCTTCCCTTCTCACCCCCACATCCTGGCTTACCTTGTGAGTTTTTTGATATCAACACTGGAATTGGGTCAAACTCATCTTCTGTCACTTTTTCAGAGCCCTCAGGAGCATCAAAGCCTGATATCAGGTTAGTATCTTCTGCAGCATAAAGGAGAAACAGAGGTAAAGAAGCAAAGATAGCAGAGAAGGCTGGTTAGAATTGCTACAAAGTGTTAGAACACGTTTATGTTTTCAGAGACAGGATTTAGAAGCAGGCGTTTCATTTAAAAGGTGAAATAAAGTTGGTAAGTCTTTGGTAAAGAACGTAAGAAGTAAGAGAGCCAATTAAATACAAAAGTGGAGGTGAAAAAAAAACAAAACAAAAAGCAAGCCAAGTCATGAGAACCAAAATAAAATTTGGCCAATCTGAAGGCTTAACAATTGGCATAGTTCAAAGCTGGGGTAAAAGCCTGGGGCTTAGGCTCCCATGGGTTGAACGTATTCTTTATCATCATCCAGCGGCTGTGAAATATTAGTACAGTTTGAGAGCGCAATCTGGCTCTCCAGCTACCAGCTCTCATGCACAGGGAGAAGAAAAGGGATGGAGAAAAAAAAAAAAGACACACACAGAAGAAATTCCAGTCATCTACGTGAAACAAAACCCCTAAGCTTTCACCTAAAGTGACAAAACAAGTGCAATATGAAGTCAGATTTCCAAGGAGTTTAAATGCCTGAAGATGTAACTAGACACAGAGAGATTTTTTTAAAGGCCCCTAGAGCAGTTTTGGCACATAATTCCATTGATTTCAAACCACGTCAACTGCAGTTAGACACTTGGTGGGAGGCACTTTCAACAGTCTCCACGGTAGATGAGACATTTATCTGCTTTATCAGGCAATTACATACCTTTAGGGACTTTCACACTCTCACTGTGCATCACTATTTGTTACACTTTAGACACCTAAAATACCTTCCAAATTCTGGTCCTCAATTACTACATGAAACATTTCTGAAAGCCTAGCAAGGACATGTACGAGTCGATGGTTTCCAAGGAACGGGAACATTCCTGTTTGACTCCTATCAAGAATAAGCTTTTTACCGAAAGCTGACAAATATGCTAACAGGTTTGGGGGGTAAAATGATGCAAGAAACCACTTGTAGAAATACAATGTCCTCTGGAGGATCAGACTCAGGAAAAAACCCCACAATTTTATTGGGGACTAGCATGTAAAGTGTCAGAAACACAAAGACATTTCATCTTAACGGAAAGTCTCATCTTGTCATCCCTCTGTCTCTGGAGGTATGTATTTGTGGCTCTTCTCAAGATACCTGGGAGCCTTTGCAAGCATCCTATTTCTGTTTCGTTTTATTTATACATACAATTGCTCATAGCTCTGGAGTTTGCTGTACAAGAAGCTACTGAAGGAGCACTGCTCAATTGTGGACTATCTTTCCTAAGGAGAGGGAAAGGCTGGCAAGTGTCCCTATGTGGGCAAAACTCCTTCAGAAGCGTTTGAGCTCACCTCAGTGACTGTACACCACCATAAGTAGAAAAATCCTCCCCTCTCACATACAGGCAGCTTAGTACTGTATTCAGAAAATGCAAATTAAGGAATCCTGAAGGCTGAACAAAATTCAGAGGCCAGAAAACAGCCTAGCAAAGGATGAAGGAAAGGATGCTATGGCACAATTGGAACATCAATCCATGCCCAGACCATGGCTGCTTTTTCAAGTCCTCCTGGACCCACTGATAACTTGCAGCATTGCAGTTCCACAGGCTGATTACACCCATGGACAGCAGCATCTGCCCCATAGGTGATTTACATCACCAAAGCCAGCATTTGATAAACAAAGCAAACAAACAAAAAAAGATTGAGACAGATGTACGGTTAATGACCACACCCAGAGCTATAAAAGCAGTGTTTGAAAACAAGCCACAAATGAGTTTTGGAAGATTTTAATATTTTGCCCCCCACCCTGCTAATAGAAGTCTCACTTTCCTTGTCAAATGTGAGCCTTTCTCATCCCAGAAGGAACAGCAGGGCAGCCTGGGAGAAGTCACACAGGAGTCTGTTAATTCATTTTCTCATTAAGTCACACTGACAATGTTTTGGCTTTGGTATGTTCCAGACATGGAGTAATAACTGCTCGACATACATTTTGAGCCATTTACTCAAAACAAAGTGGCATGGAAGTGTATTATAGCAATGAGCAATTAGAACAACTGCTTGTTTAAACCCAAAAGCTCTATGAAAAAACAAACTCATTTTTAAGTGCCATCAAGTGTAAAAATTGATTACAGACTGTTTTTACAGCGATTCCTCTGAGGACAGATCATTTTCTGTTGCTATAGGGATACTTACCAAATGAGCTAAGCAAAGCCTGTCGTCAAGGGACACTCAGTAGCTAGCACTCAGTGTGCTCGGTGCCTCTCTTTTCAAGGCAATAAATAGCACAGAAGTCCTGGTCTTCCCTCTCTCCCAGGTGGATGCGTACTACCCAGTATTCACTACAAGCTTGGCTTATGTGAGAGTCATCTGCTAACATCTGGCATTGTCCCCAAGGGACACATGCACTGCTCACAACTGCTTTAGCCCATAATAGGGTTGTGCCAGAACGGAGCAGGAAAAGTTCACCACACAAGTCACACTTCAGCTGATAGCTCTTCAAACTATTCCAGTGCCACTGTTCCAGCCACACTGCATGAAGAGGGCCCAGATTTCAGCTGGATACTCTGCAGCTTGGAAAAAATAAAAGCCATCTGAGTTAGGACCCAGCTTCCCAGGGTCCTCTACTCTTGCTTGTTAGTGGAAAGAGAACAGAACTCTGGTCACTGCACAGTATTTCCACAGTTCCACTCAAGCTCAAATACTGATGTACTGCAAGGGCTGATCTGCAGCTCTTAGAAATTACCACACATGGTCTGCTTCTCTTCTTCAGCTCTGGTTTTTTGTTACTATGAAACTGTTCCATTTTTCAGTTGGATACTGCACTTAGACTTTCATTCATGTTTGCTGTGACACTGCAGTTTGACTCAAGAACCTCCTCCTGATAACCTCTGAAAAGGAAAACATTCTCTAGATCTGAAAGAGCTCAGTCACGTGCCTTGGACGGTAACTCTGATAAACCAAAAAAACATTCCTTTTGTTTCAAAAACCTGTGACACCAGTATAGACGATTATCAGGCTCCCTTCCAGAATTATTAATGCAGCATAAAAGCAGGTCTTAAACCCCATGTGCGAAAAGCAAAACCAGACTGCCTTCACTTACAAATCTGAAGAAGGGTTGCATACAAAATCCTACCCTTTAAGCCTACTGTATCCCTTCTGCTGTATCCCTGTTTCATGAAAGATGCCACCTGTCTTGACAAACCTTGTCTTTACAGTCAAGCTGAATACTTTTATCTATTATTTTTCCCTTAGTACTTCAATGTACATTCCAAGTTTCACCAGCTTGGGAAGAAAACAAAACAATGGCTTGGGGAAAAAAAACAAACAAACCAAACCAAAACCAAAAAACCACACATCACTAGAACATGGGTCAGAGCATCTGCTTGTGTAAACCGGTATCAGCTTCACTTCACAACAGCTAAAGACCACATCCCAGGACTGATTAGGTGTTAGAGACAAAGGGACAGTTTACCTTTGTGAGGTTGAGCTGCGAAAGCTACAGGAGCAAACTCATCCAAGAGGTCAGCAGCAGGGTTAGAAAGCAGAGAACAGTCAAGCAGAGAGTCTTCCCCAGTGAGAGAGTCTGAATCCAAGTTAGCATCCAAAGGCCGCAAGGTAGCATTAAACAGGACACAAACACTGTTAAGCTCATATTCTCACATTCCTGTTCCCATCCACTTAGTGTACAAACAGAGCTTTGATGCAAAACCAGCACAAAAGCTACCATTTTTTGTGATGAAAAACATTTCTTACCGCTCTGCAGTAAGAGCAAAGGGATTCCCAACACCTTTAGGAACATATAACACATTCTCTGGGGTTAACCGCCCTCTAAAGCTGAGTATAGAACAATGAAATCCCACACAAGTGACAGTTTAAAGTAGGGGCAGTGAAGGGGAGCATGGGAGGGAAGGGAGTTGCAGGGACTCTCTGGCAAAACAAAGTGCGCTGCATATTTCACAAGAGACCTCTGAAAAGAGGTCGAGTCCATCTGCTGCAGAAGTGGCCAGATAAGGCCTTCACAGTAAGAAAGGGACAAAAATTGCTTACTACCACACCCCAATGGAACAGATTAAAAAAAAAAAAAAAAAAAAAAAAAATAAGTGACTGCCCCCGTTTTCAAAAGCACTTAATCGGAGCAATACTCTGGCATCTATAGATCTGTAACAGTTGGAAAGAACACTGTGCCATTCTTCACAAGGAGACAAGTAACATTGACCTTCAAGGAGCCATGCAGAATCCACTTACAAGCCCAGTTTACACTGGTGGGAAAAGCAGCAGAGATGCTTATGTTTAAGCGGACAGTGCTTTCTGATTTACACAGCCCACACCAGTACGATGCATCCCTACCCCCCGACACCCTTCTGCCTCACCAACCTGTTCTGTTGGAGGCAACTGACTCCGTCTGTGACACAAGGCGTTGGGGCAATGGAGCCTCGAGGCCTGGTATGAGACTCTCAACAGCTACGTCAGGTTTTCCTTTCCAAATGTGCAAAATACCAGAGCAGAGAAGAAGCCAGAGGTTAGTTTGCAAGACACAGCATAAGAAAGAACTAAGGCGGCAGTTGTCTGAATCCTTTAGTGACCCTTTAATATGTGTCAGCTATACTGGCAGCAACAAGAGGCTGAAGTTAGACTGATATTAATTTTATCATGAGGAAAGACTGTAACACATTAGTGTTTGTTGGGTTTTTCTGTGTTTTATTTATTTATTTTAAGTTGTGCAAGCCCAATGTGAAACATCCAGAGGGTGGAATGGGAGGTTAATAATGCCTGCCCTGCAGCTAAGCAGAAGGCCAGAGGCTGGGCAAATAACTATAAGCTTTTGCAAGATCCTATTCCAGCAAAAGGAAAACACTGACCTTGAAGGAGTCCCCTTGCATTAGAAGTAACAGATCATTAAAATACCTACTGTGGAGCCCTTAGCATATTCCCAGTTAGGCTTGTAAAAAGCCAAGTTGTAGGATCTTTTTTCATTTTGATTGCCCAGTGGAGCAAAGATTGCAGACCCTACAGAGAGGTGATAAAGTTTTAGAACTCAACATCTTACTGAAAAGACCAGTTCTCAGTATCATCTAATGTTGATGTCCACGAAGTGGATACAAAAGGAGATGTTTACAAAGGCTGGATAGAAAGATTTTTTTTATAGAAACCATAAATGGAAGGGGGAGAGACATGGAGGGTAACTGTCATAGTCATACCAGCCAGGTATAATGCTTATCTGTGTCTCTTTCTCAAGGGCCAACATCAGGGTAATAACCAAGAAGTTAAGTTAAAGAACAAGGATGCACTCAAATGCTAGGACCAGAAATGGTCTAGTCAGCCAACTTAAGAGAGATTAATGAATATTTTTGTTTGCATAGCAGTGTGTGTGATTTGCAGGATCATTATCTAAGAGTACTCAGACAACTGCCAGAAATTGTGAAAGGCAGAAAAAGTCTTATTATTTAAAGTGACTCATTTCCTACCTTTCTATTCAAAGCTACAAGGTTGCAACCAGCTAGCCAGGGGACCCTGGCTGGTACCCAAAACCACAAAAGCAGCTGATTGCAACTAACAGCAGCCTGCAGTTATTAGTCTTCCGTACATTTGGCAAGTAGATCAAAATACAATTCTGCAACACTCCAAAATCTTTATACTGCCTGGAGCCTGTTGCATCTGGGCTTATAGCAGCCTAGCACATTTATTCTCAGCATATGCCCCAGGTCTAAGGCAATGCTGTCCTCATCCTGCTGAGGGTGGATGGAGACACAGACAGGCTCAGTGCCTGGGCCATGGTTACACATGAAGTCCTTCAGTTCATTTCAGCAGAAATGGAGGGATCTTTTGCATCTTTTCCTTCAGTCAACAGTTAACTTCCTTCTACCAAGACCAGAAGAACACATAAGGTACAACCATGCCATGTTATTGAGCCAAATCAGTAAGCCTAGATTTTAAATGCAAATACCAAGTCTTCGCTGTTCAGAGGCTAGTCTCATGGAGAAAAGGCAGATCTGTCTCAGCATAATCTGTAACTTCCTATCACATTGCATTTCACCAACATCAGCAGCTGTTTTGAGAGGCCGGTGGGGGTAAACACGCAGAGTTATCATGCAGGACCAGACATGCCATGTAAGACAGAGGAGAGGAGGTGCCCTGAGTTATTTTTACCATTCACAGCGTCTGATGTGCTACCGAAGGGGTCAGCGAGAGGCAGGATATCGGGGAGCAGAAGCGCAGTCTCAGGAGATTTGAGTCCCTCAATGAGTTTTTCTGGGTTAAGCGGGAAAAGGAGGAAGGCAGGCAACAGAGAAAAAAGAAAAGAAAAACCAAAAACAAAAAAAACAAGAAAAGACAACATTAATCAGGTGCTCAATTCAGTGGCTCATAGTCCAGTGTGTCAGCCTCAGAAGAGCATCTGCACAATTTTGCGTGCAAATAACACTATCACTTAGATATATGAGGGCAGCTGTTCACCAGCTGGTCATGGTCACCTAAGACAACTGAGAACATCCTCACCCACTATGCACTGCTCTCCCTAAGGAGCCACTGTAAAATAGCATGGAGTTCTTTCACTCCTAGCCAAAGCACAAAAGCTTAACATGACCCACTGAAAATCAAATTAAAAAAAACCCAAACAAAAACAAACCTGCAAATTTTTCCCTTCTCACCTTCCTACGCTGGGGAAGTCTTTGTATAATGAGAAGAAATGGAAGAGATGATCGGAAGTCCAAAATGCTAGAGCTAGGTATACAATGCCCCTATTAATTTGCTCAAGAATGGAATACTTACAGCCCTTAAGACCTTGAGCAAAACCAGAAAACATTGAGACACTACAGTGCCAGACATCAGAACTTGTCCTTCGGTTAAACAGCTGCCTAGTTAATTATTTCAAACATCACGTTTCAAATCAGACACGTCATTCTCAGCAGTACAACTCCTGTGGTTCCCATCATCCTTCCCACAAAGAAATCCAGATAGCCTGGGCAAAAAGTTAGTCTCAATTATTAATCTGGTGGATGAGTGATTTTGCAATCATACTAACCAGGTTTATCAATAATGAGCTTAATTATTTACCTTTCACAGAACAAGATGAAGAACATTTTCAGGATTTGCTAGAAGTAATCACCTTCAGTAGAACACCACTGATAAAATTTGCTCTACACAGACAAATCTGGCCATTTCAACTTGTTGAAATGACTGCATTTATAATCTAACATTAGAATGAGCTGTGGCCCTGCCACAGCTATACCTTTACAAAATTTTTACATCTATCTTTTATGTTTTGAGTTCAAAGGCTGGTGTTATTATTTATTATCCAAAGAAAACATGCTCACAACTGCACAAAAGCACAGGCTCTGGAATACTGCTGTATAAAAGACTTACCATGCTGAGAAAGCCAAAGAAAAGCTTTAGTTGCACTGTTACATACACGGTAATAATATAAATCTTTTTTATTGCCCTATATAAATAATAAAATAGCCTAGCAGCTTTAGAACTATTTATTCAAAGCAGGACAAATTGTACTCCCCACAAAAAACTTCAGAAGTCAACACACTAAAGCAACCAGGTGGGCAAGGAAACCTAAAAAGCAACCCAAGAGGCAGCTGTTACACCATTAAAGGCCTGAAGAAGGTCAGCCGAAAGGAAAATCCTGACGGGAACAGCAGCTTTGAATGTACTTGAAACCTTCCCACCTCTATGAGGAATACTCAATTTTAAAGGCTGGATTTCCCAAAGAAAATGCACCCCAGCTGCAGAGGTATCATCCTTGGCTTCTCAGCTGTACAAAGAGGGGCTTTTTCCTCACACGAACGGAGAGGCTGGGAGCAGGGGCCTGGCAACAGAAAGAGGTGTCGATGCTATCAAAAGGGGGCTAAGAAGCATGGAACTGATTATAGCATGTTGGGAAAACATAACACAACACAGGAGAGAGACATGGGGACAAGATGACAGGGAACATGCTCAATTCCTTTTCCCAGAAAGGAGGCAGTAAAATAACAGGTATCCAACCCAGGGTACAGCTGACTGAAACAGCATTTTAAATCAATTAATCCATATAGCAAGGCACAGCACATAACTGTGGGAGAAATTATGGATTGTCTCAGAGTTGGGCACTTTCAAATTGGTTTCGGCTCCTACTCTGAAATGAAGTTTTTAACCTATGAAGTGACATGTATGTACATTGTGAATGTATTCACCTTTTAGTGATTCAGGCCTAAAATACTCCTTTAAAGGCAGACTCAGAAGGCCTGTCTGCCAATGCCCAGCTCTTCCCAAGGTGCTTGCATCAACCTGTATCTTCAAACCCATATATACAGTATATATCATTCCTTTTATGATCCCAAGTGTCTTGCTCCCTGAAGTCTCCCTCCTTCAGCCTTACTTTTCCAAAGTTTCCTCCTTTTTCATTACTGCAGACTTTCCATTTAACACAGTAGAACTGCCTTTTGGTCAGGTACTAGAAAGATGCCTATTGAGCTCACTCACACTTTTTAAACATGCAGAAATTATGAGAATAAACATGGTGTTCTTCTCTCTACATGTTAGTTTTCCCTCCCGCCCCCTGGGCTCAATTGGTTTTATGCAAAGCTTTAGACTGTCAGTGGTTCTTTGTCTTATTTTGTTACTTGTCTCACGAGATCTCCCTTCTCATTTCCTTCATTGTTGGTGCTAATATGCCAATGCTGTTACAGATAGCCACTGCATCTCTTAGGTCATGATCAAAAGGAACTTTATAGCTTTTGAGTGAGGCTGAGGAGGTCCACAAAAACAAGAAGGTGTCAGGATGAATGAGAAAGGAGATAACAAAGGTAACAAAAATCAGATGCCTCATTCAATTTTGAGGCCTAGCAGTTCATTTCCCTGGTTTCTGTTTTGTGTTATATCTTGTACTAACTGGTAGGAATAAGAGATAAAGGAATAGCAGTCGCTTTAAGTGGTGGGAAATTCACGTTCAACTAGGAGCAAAGGAACAGTTAGCGGAGGCCCAGCGCAAAACATGGTTCTGCATTAGTCAGCAGGAATACCTTCTCTACAAGAGTTAGGTTTGTTCTTTTTAGCGTGACACGCTACAAAAACACTAAAGGAAGTTTTTCTGAATCCACATCAGACACTCAAGTCCAAGAACACTACATGCCTTCACTGTGGCAAATAAACCCAGCTCTTAAGCCTCTGCTTCACCATAGCTCCAATGATCAAAGCAGTAACTCAAAGAGGGTATCTTCTGCACACTAGACTGTTTCCCTGTGCATGAACATTAGGCAGCTGCAGTTTAACTATATGCAGACCTAGAAAGAAAAAATAGGCTCTTCTCATGATACCAAAATGCGTTTTGGGTCCTGCTACCAAGGGAATTCTCTAGGAGAAGTTTAATTTTGATTTCCAAGAGAAAAGCTGCTTCACCTGCAAGTGAAGCCATGGTTGAGATGGTGAGAAGCCAGCAATACTAAATAATTTGACCGAGTAAGAAACACAGCAGTGCAAGAAAAGGAAAAGCTGGGATAACTAGCCTCATTTTCGGGAATCTGTACAAACGCAACAGTTTCAAGTCACACATATACGAAGAGATCATCAATTGCAGAACGGGCTCCACCAGTAAAGCAAACAGCATGCAGCTTGTATCTGCCATTTGCAGAAAGAGATGAAGGCTACAGCCTCAGGTATGGACTTCTCTAGAACACCGTCTCACATCTGCCATCCCCTTAGCAAAGATCTTCTGCTGGAGGAAAACCAGAGAGATGTTTTGCCACTACAGTACCAGTTTCTTGTGACTCTCCGGGCATGTGGGCACACAATTACAAGCTGCATTTTAGAAGTGGTCATGATGGCAAAGAAGATCAGTTATGCAGCAAACAGCAATGGAACAAGAAATAAACAAATAAAAACTTCTGCTATGCTGCAGTTTCAGGCCCCATTGCAATTAATTTTGTGCTTGTATAGAGCTCAGACTGGAACATGACAGGACAAAACACATCCTGTATCAATCAACATGCAGTTAAATTCAGTATTTTATAGTATCATGCCTCAAATCCAATAGACATATCCAGATTATTCATATGTAGAGATATGAACAAGCATGAGGATAAACAAGGTTAAGAAAATGTAACCCAATACAATAATATTTTATATCATATAGCTCCTGCAGGGCTGTCAAGAAGGGCTTTTATCAAACTTTAGCTGGGAAACATGTGCTTTAATTGATAACTGTGCTCTCACATGAGGAGGCATCCTCTTCCCAAGACAGCCTACAGAAAATCTGCCAGATGCTTTCCAGGTCACAGGGAAAGTAAGGTTGATTCAGATTCAGGATTGATCTGACCATTGGTATTTCATTTTCTGTCGGGTTTTCTACTTAGCCCATTTTCAGTCCTGACAGGATGGCAGCAAGTTTCCTATGGCTTTGCATCAGCTAGTAGAGACACTGGTGGAGTAGGCAAGATTCATTAGCAAGTCTTAAGAAGGTGTCTAAGCTTAAAAGCACGCAGGGGGGATTAAAAAGTGCCCTATCAACCCCTTCCAGAGCTAAAGCCCAGCCACATACTGCAGCCTTTAGACAAATGTTTCACATTCTTCCTAAGTTCCCAGTTCCTTACAGTAAGAAATTACTGATGGTTTCCCATCATAGTCAGAGTAAGCAAAACACACTGCAGAAAAAGCAAAGCAAGAGCCTACAGCTAACAGCTCTCAGAGGCATCCCCAAATGGTAGATGTTGGTAGCTTCCGAGACTGGAAAACCAAATCACTTCCTCTGGGAATAAAAGCAAGAGCCTTTCCTCTGATTTGCACCAACCTAAGAAGGAAGTAATGCCATATAGCATTAGCAGAATTAATTATCCATTTCTATCATGGGACAAGAAGGCAAGTTCGAACCCCACGCATCGGTTGAGCAGCACAGCTTTGGACAATCCAGTGAGAACATTTTGACCTTTTTCTTCAGATCCCTTCTAACACATGCACACATCTGATTTTTGAGATTTACAATTAGTCAATTTGCACAGATTTTGCATCTGCAACACCACCACTGCCAAAGACTGTAAGTTAGCATGCTGCATTTATACTTGGCGATATACCTGTTAAGCAACAAAGTATATGCAGAAAGCATTTTGAGAAGGACTAGAGTTATGAAAAAAATATAAATCAAGAGACAAGGGAAGCAAATGGGTTTTTAGTTAGAGCAGGCTATTAGAAAAAAATAAAGATTCCTGAGAAACTTGCAAGTTAAAAAGGGAACAGAGGGCAAAAATCCGTCATAAGTTGGTAACACACTGAAC